CCAGTGCTCATATTGAGACTAGTGATGGAAAGAAACAAAGTGCTACAGGAAGTGGAGACATTAAGCAGAAACCAGACGGAAAACAAAGCAAGAGCCCATCATCAAATGCTGCAGAAAAAGGTAAGGTCAGGAGTTTGATTTTGTTGCCAGTGAATAAACATCCTAATGTTTAGGAATCTCGGTGCATTTTAAATACTTAGGTGCCATTTTCTGCTTCCATTTCCTCTTGTCTTCTTTGTACCCCTACCTCTAAATTCTTAAGGAAACCACAATTAGGCTGCCTTTTTAAATCATACACCATCCTCATGCAAAATGTGCCGGGTATCTTATATGCACACCACATAATTTTTTTCTAGTTGCCTACCAGTGAAACATTGCAAATTACTCTACAGTCCTAACTAGTTCAAGTGATTTTTTTAAATTGGGAGCTTTTGTTCATTTTTTTTTTAGAGTTTAACAGTACACACTTTAGACTACTCTCCTCTTTTAAAACTTTTAATGTAAATTGCTACTAGGTGTTTAGTAGATCTCTTGGTGATGATGTATTTGTAGTTGAATAATAGACATCTAACTTCTTTCTCTTTTTTCTGCCAGTGTAATATCTTGTTTCGGGGTACTTCTTTTTTACTTTTAGAATGCAGAACAGAACATGGAAAATCATGCTGTTTCAGCATAGAGAAACCTGTAGTAAGTAACTAAAGTGAATATTTAAGTATTCCTTTTACTTTACTTTGTCACTCTAAAACATGCAAATTCACTGATATTTTTCTATAGTACAGTTTTAATTTGAATCCTTTACCTAATTGAAATTTCATAACCTCCTTTAGCTATTCAATACATAAATATCCAGTGTGGCTTTGTTAAAGATAATATTAATGGCTCATTGTTTAATCACAGTATTTAAGCACCTAATAAGAGGATAAAATTACTTAGCATAAACCAAGACTTAGGGAAAGATTATATCATAAATTAGAGATTATCATTTTTAAGTACCCTACTTGAATTTTTGTTATTTATTTTAGGTTTCTGATATTCAATCAAGATCTGCTGTTATTTCATGGAAACTGCATGGTTCTGAGAAATGTGACCATACTAAATCTCCTGTAATATTTGAATTGGCAATATCTCACAGCAGTAAAAATGGAAAATATAAAAATGTGTATACGTAAGTCTCCTTTTAATCATCTGTCGTTTCTCATAATTCAATTAAAATATGCTATCTAAACATGTGACATGTTACATTTACTTACTCAACTTATACCTAGGCTGAGTTCTAAAGGTTTTTATGCAATTTTTTCCAAGCTTTGAATGCAATTTTCTACAGAAATTGTTTTATAAATGGTGGTAGGTTGTCAGGTTAGTCCTCAAAATTCATTGAATCATAAATCATGCACCACATAATGAAGTTTCTGTCAGTGACAGACTGCATACACGACGGTAGTCCCATAAGATTGGTACCCTATAGCCTAGGTGTATAGTAGGCTATATCATCTAGGTTTGTGTAAGCACACTCTATGATGTTTGCACAACGATGAAATTACCTAACGATGCATTTCTCAGAACGTATTCCCATTGTTAAGTGATGCGTGATTGTATGTTAGAGCTGAGAGGGACCTTCAATATCAACTGGTCCATTCTCTTCAGTTTACAGCTTTCCTATTTGACAGGTTTAGACTCGGGGAAGAAAAGATTCCCTCCAATTCTCCTTTCTCTTTTTTTCCACTTAGGTCATTTTAGGGAAAAAGAAAGTTGCACATGATGGTAGGCCTTTGGGTACACAAGCAAGGTATTTACATTGCAATGGGAATTTAAGACTTGGGCTCTCCTGGGAATTTCATTACAGGAGCTAGTTATAGGTGGAGCTATGATAGTAGCAGGAAGAGCTTAGGAATGTGCTCAGAAGACAGGACCAGGACTAGGAAGGATACAGTGGAGAACACAGCAAAAACATACCCAACCACTCCCAACAGCTTCTCGAGTAGATAAGGACATGCAATCTGAAAGAGAGCAAACTGAGAGAGGCACAGTGGAAAGGAAATCCCAAGAAAGGAAGAAAGAGAAATTCATTTGCCCATGAAACAACTAGGCAAGATATAAATCAGAGATCTGGAGCTGTCTGTACAGCACTTTAAAAATCATAACACATCTTAAACTTTATTTGCTAGAATTTTGAATTATTAATATCATGTTTTGCATTTATATGAAATGGGTTAAAGTTATCTAAACTTCAAGGAGAATTGTCTTCTTTGTTTATCAGTTGAATATACAAGATTAGTACTGTTACTTAGCTTTTAAGTATGTGTGAGATCCATTATAAACAAAGGTTATCTTCACAGTGGTGATGGAGTTACATTTACTTTACTTGATCTACAACCATCCATGGCCTATTTTGTAAGGTAAGAACTCCATTCTACACAACCTCCCCCAACTCTGTAGCCAGCCAGACTCCCCAGTCTGTATTAGTTCACTATTTATGATTCCTACAGTCAGCCTTGATACTTGCCAGCAGAGTGGCCTTTCTTTCAAGCTTCAAAACAACCCCCTCCAACTCCAGCATTAGTTCACTTTCTTTCATTTAGAACAGGTGGGAGGGTGATTTGGGAGCCATTATCAGCAAGGATACCGCTTTGCTCTATTAGAAAAATTTTTATAATTATCTTCTAAGAAATGTGTCTGGAGACTCATGTTTGCAATTTAGTACATATGTTAGGATAAATATTTGAAAGCTTACAACAATTGTCATTACATTTTTAGAATTACAAGTCTAAGAGGCTCAGCACACAGAATGGTGTCTGAAGTGGTTAGCTTCACAACTCCAGGTTGCAAACCAGACCCTCCACTTGCACCCAAACTGATTAACCGATCCAAGAGCAGCCTGAATTTACAGTGGAAGGTAAAGCTTTTACTGCCAAAAGCTCCTCAACATGTTTTTTTTTTTTAATTTGAAGACATTCTTTCTACTTTGCTCTGAATTTTAAATATGAAATTATGAATGCCTCATCCGACTTATTTCCCTAACACTTTTCCTTCTCTGTAATCATCTTTCTTTTCTTTCTATCTATATAAACGATCAAGTAAATTGAGAAATGTCAATCAGAATTTCAATAATTAATAAAAGTTGAAGTGCCAATTTCTACAACCTAAATTTATTTATAATTGTAGTTACCAATAAATCTAGCTCTCAATTTACTTAAGTAATAACTTTCTTCATTGCATAAAATTTGGAAAACACAGCAAAACATAGAATTTGGGTATGTCTATAGAGTGTAAAAAAGTGCATTTTAACTTTAAAATCTGGATTGCTTCAAACACAATGAAAGCAGATTAATTTACAGTAATTTCTATCACTTTAATTATATATATATATATATACACACACATACATACATATTTATTGTATAAAAGCAACCCATCATAATTTTATCTTTCTGATATTTTTAGGGCTCCAACGATAATGGTTCCAAAATAAACAGCTTCCTTTTGGAATGGGATAAGGTAAGGTAAGAATTTTTATTTTTAAAAAGCACTTGTTTGTAAATGATTATTAATATTATGATGAATTTTTGTTATTTGTAGCATTTTATAATATTCTAATATTTTGTGTATATTACCAAGGGCAAAGGTGAAGACTTCAAAACTTGCTATGTGGGTACCATGAAACAGCACAAGATCCTTAAACTGAATGCTTCTACAAAATATTCATTCAGATTAGCTGCCAAAAATAACTTTGGCTTGAGGTACACTGAATTATTGCAATATTTAAAGGCCTATACTTCAATAAAACCCTGAAACTAATTTTTCCATCTTAATTTATTTTTCAGTGATTTCAGTGAAATAGCAGTCTTTCATACATCAGGAACTATGCCTCCAACACCTTCACCCCCAAAACTAAAAGAAGCAGGAATCTGTAATATGACATTAGAATGGTGTGCCCCAACTAACACAAGCCCAAATGATGGTCTTACTTATGTACTAGAAATGGAGGAAGCAGGATCCGTAAGTTTTCTTTTCATATGCTTTAATCTTCAACTTCAGTCTTAGGTACATTTTATACGCATTTTACACTGAAAAAATTTGTTTGATTAATTTAATTTCTATCAATCACTGTGTGATTCCTGAGTCTCTGTGTTCTGGGTGGGACCAATGCAGACCCCCGGTTAGGCAAGCCTGCACAGGGAGATCTGAAGGTACCCAAGTCCCTGCAAATTAGCTAGAAGCAGCAATAGCCATAACAACAGAATAGAGACTCACAGAATTGTGTTAGTTCTTCAACTTTAGGCCTATCCCAAATGACCTTGCATGGTCACACAGATCCTTTGCATATTTCTGTGAGGGCAAGCCCTTTCCTCATCTCCCTGGATTCCTGATGTAGGTGGGCAAACTGCTTCATTCCCTTCTGAACTTTCCAGTCTATACTGGATAGGCTACTAAACTTAAAGAGCAGCTGTAAATTTTGTTATGCATATTTCGCCACATTTGAAATAAAGCAACTAACATTAAGAAGTGTTCTGTGTAAGTAATATGCTAAGTGCCTTCATATACATTATCTCATTACATCTTGAAAAAAAGAGGCCCTTTAAAGTAAAAATTATCTCCATTTTTTTATATAGAGAAAATGAGGTTCAGAGACACTAAGGGACTTGCTCAAGACCACCCAGGTGGAAAATAAGTTAAGTTGGAACTTGAACCCAAGCCTGCCTGATTCCTAAGTTCATTGTTTTTCATTTCCAGGGGCTGGGTTTTAAACCTAAATACAATGGAGAAGACCTCTCATGCACTATAAGAAATCTTCAGAGGAGTACTACATACAAGTTCAGGGTATGTGGCTATAATTTATAAATTTGTATCATATTTTTAATATAAAATTATACTCTTCACTAAAGATAAAAATGAATGTCTTTTTTGGTTGAAATTAAACCTTATTTGGCACTTAGTTCTCAGAAATTTACAGTCAAATAACTTGCCTTATAATATTATTTACAAACTATGCATACTTTCAAATCAGACATTTATTTCCTGTGGTCAACCAAGATATTCTCTTTTACTCAAATAGATCTTTGCCTACAGTATGGAAGGAAGGAGTAACCCCAGTGGAGAGGTAAAATATACTACCTGTCCAGACAAGCCTGGATCCCCTAAAAAACCATATACAAAGGGAAAGATCCATGCACACAGAGTGAAAATTGGATGGGGTAAGTAATGTGTTTGTGTTTACAATTTATCTTCTCTGTCTTAATATTAACTATTGAGAAGTAATCTTCCTCTAATTGCCCTCAGCTTTATAAAATATTCTCTTAATCATTTGTATATGAAATATTTCACCATATAAATGTTTAGTTGTTAACTATATTGTTTTTTCTTGTTCTCTATTGGGTTCTCTATTGTTATCTCATTAATTCGCACATGAACAAATTACTGAACTTTATATGGGCCTTTAAAAATTACAGTTATTCCAAGTAAGATTATATCTAATATAGAGGCCACAATTAGAAGGACACATCAATGATAAACTGTCAACTTGACAAGAAAATATATTTATACAAGTTATTTTGCCTCTAAACTGGCAAAATCAACTTTAAGGTACATATACTTAGCATTTCAGTCTCTTCCAAAGAACTTTAAAATATTAAATATTTCATGTCCAATATTCTAAGCATGTAACTTGGCTTATGTTTTTTATCATCTTTCTTAATATCTGAATATTAATATCCTATTAAGTTTAATGTTTGTGTTTTTTCCTCCATGAAAATTTTTAATTTATAACATTCTAGTGAAAGACTTAAGTTTATTCAAGAATAATTTTAATTTTATTTCTCTTTTCAGAACCACCCAAAGATAATGGTGGGACATACATTTCAAGTTATAGTTTAGAAGTTAGTGAAAATTCAGATGGTAAGGCATCATGATTTTTTTTAAGTTTTTTATTTTGAAATAATTTTAGACTTACCTAGAAGTTGCAAAAATAGCATAGAGAATTCCCATGTATAACTTCCACTCAGCTTCTCCTAATATTAATATCTTACATAACCATAGTACAATTATCAAAATCAGGAAATTGGCTTTGGTACAATACTACTAAGTAAACCCCAGAACTTACTTTGATTTCTCCAGTCTTGGGTAGTAAATCATGTTTAGTTACTGATCTTTTATGATTTTATGGCCAATTCTACAGGGAATATAATTATTTAACTATTGTAAATAGGTAATTGGACCACAGTTAATTTCCAAAATGGTTATTTATTAGTATACACGAGATAACAACAGGAACCCACAAATTTATAAGCTACCTATAAATAAATTGCATAAATTTTCTTTATCCCTTCAGTGAATTTCTGGAACATAATCTACAATGGAACCACAAGGGAATTTCTATATGATCACCTGCAACCTGGTACTACATATAAACTGAGAGTCTTTTGCACTTCGCCTATAGGCCAAAGCCAGGTGAGGAAAGAAAAAGGGAAAAATTTTTAAATTGAAAATTGAAATGAACTGCATCATATTACTATAGGCATACCTCAGAGATATTACAGGTTCGGTTCCAGACTCCCCCAATAAAGCAAATATCATGATAAAGCAAGTCATGAATTTCACAGTGCATATGAAAGTTATGTTTATACTATAGTTATTTTATTAAGTGTACAATAGCATTATGTCTAAAAAAACAATGTACGTACCTTAATTAAAAAATAGTTTATTGCTAAACAGTGCTAACTATCATCTGAGCCTTCAGCAAGTCATAATCTTTTTGCTGCTAGAGGGTCTTCCCTCAGTGTTGATGGCTGCTAACTGATCAGGTGGTGGTTGTGGAAGTTTCTTAAAATAAGACAATGAAGTTGGCCACATTGATTGACTCTTCCTTTCAAGAATGATGTCTCTGTAGCATGCAATGCTATTTGATAACATTTTACCCACAGTAGAACTTCTTTCAAAACTGGAGTCAGTCCTCTCAAACCCTGCCATTGCTTTATCAACTAAGTTTATGTAATATTCTAATCCTTTGTTGTCATTTCAACAATCTTCACAGCATCATCACCAGGAGTACACTCTATCTCAAGAAACCACTTTCTTTGCTCATCCATGAGAAGCAATTCTTCATCTGTTAAAGTTTTATCACGAGATTACAGCAATTCAGTCACATCTTCAGGCTCCACTTCTAATTCTAGTTCTCTTGCTATTTCCACCACATTGGCAGTTACTTCCTCCACTGAAGTCTTGAACCTCTCAAAATCATCCAGGAGGGTTGGAATCAACTTCCTCCAAACTCCTGTTAATGTTGATATTTTGACCTCTTCCCATGCATCACAAGTGTTCTGTGTGCGTGTGTGTGCACGCGCGCGTGTGTAGGTTTTTTTTTTTTTATTGAGGTAACATTGACGCTGCTCTGAATTTTTGTTTTGTGGTTACCAGATGGTTTGTATAAAAGTTCTCGTAGATGAGATAGTCCTTTTTCTGCTGATAGCACCTTATCTTCATTTGCCTATGCAGGTTCAGTCCTTTTCCTCTTCCCCTTCTATGCTTTTGCTATCACAAATTATCTCTTTTTGTATTGCGAGTTTGTTACCAAATTGAAGTGGTTATAGTTATTTTTAATGCTTCCCTTGCCTTTAACCTAAATGTTAATAATTAAGTGTATACTATTACATTCTGATACAGATTTGCAATTTTCTGATTCTGTTTATCTATTTATCCCCCAGCTCAGCTTTGTATACCCTTGCCTTTTTGTTTCAGGTTGGACAGCTCCTTTCAACATTTCTTGTAAGGCAGGTTTAGCGGTGACGAACTCCCTCAGCTTTTGTCTGTCTGGGAAGGCCTTTATTTCTCCATATTTGAAAGATAACTTGCTGGATAGAGTATCCTTGGCTGACTGTTTTTATCTTTCAATATTTTGAATATATCATTCCACTCTCTCCTGGCCTGTAGGGTTTCTACTGAGAAATCTGCTGATAGCCTGATGGATATTCCTTTGTAGGTTGTTTTCTTTTTCTCCCTGATTTTTGACAGTTTTATTATCATGTGTCTTGGAGAAGGTCTTTTTGTATTGAGATAATTGGGTGTTCTATTTGCTTCGTGGATTTGTATACCCAGTTCCTTCTCCAGGTTTGGGAAGTTCTCAGATATTATTTCTTGAAATAAGCTTTCTGCCCTTCTCTCTCTCTTCTCCTTCTGGGATACCCATTACCCTTATGTTGCCCTTCCTAATACAGTTGGATAATTCTCTAGAATGTCTACATTTTTTTAAGTCTTATTTCCCTTTCTTCTTCTACCTGCATCATTTCTAGGTTTGTGCTTCAAGCTCACTAATTCTCTCTTTCATATGATCTTCTCTATTTCTGATGTTTTCTAATGCATTTCTCATCTCATTTATTGAGTTCTTCATCTCCAGAATTTCTCTTTGGTTTCTTTTTTTTATAGTTTCAATCTGTTTAGTGAAGTATTCCTTCTGTTCATTGATTTTATTCCTGAGCTCAATGAACTGCCTGTCTGAGTTTTCTTGTAGCTCATTGAATTTCTTCATGACAGCTATTTTGAATTCTTTACCAGTTAGATCACAATCTCCCATGACTTTATCTTTGGTTTCTGGAGAATTGTTTTCTTTTTGTAATGCCATGGTACTGAGGCTTTTTGTGATGTTTGCTGAGTTATTCCTCTGCTGGTGCATTTGTTGTAGCAAACATGTTTTTTTAATTTAGGTATATCTTTGTTTTGATTCAAACTTTTCAACTGCTTAGAGATTAGAAGCCTTCTTTTGTTTTTCAGTAGGTCGCACTATAGCACTAGTTTTTGGTTTCTCTTACCTGAACTGCATCTGGCTATATTTGAAGATCTACATGTTCCACCCTCTAACACCTCTATTTGGGGTTTTGCTGGTACTCTCTTTGTTGCAACCTGCGCTTCTGGGGGGTCACTGATGCCTTGCTGTTGCTGGTGTTGCTGAAGTCACTGGCTTTGCCATCTAGGGCAAAGGGATGACTGACGCCTCAGCCACATCCAGGATCACCTGAGTTGGAAACTCTGCCACCATGGTTGGGGAAGGGGGAGGGTAGGGAGGGAGCCTGGTGTGTGGGGCACCATCTCAGCTGTTGCCAGCTACCTTGCGGTCACTGGCACCATGGTGGTTGGGATATAGGAGTCCTTTGTGGACCTCCACTGCAGCTATTAGGCTCCAAGCCACAGCCAGGTGGCCCAGGATTGCAGGGCTCCACCTCTACTGATGCTCTGCTTCTTGTGGCCATAGGTGCCACTGTGGCTGGCTGGCTGGCTGGAGTCACATGCGCAGCTCTGCTGCTACCCACTGAGTTCTCTGGGGCTGGGAGAAGCTGCCTCAGCCCCTGTGGCCAGTGATCAAGGATCCTGGGCTCTGCTTCTCCTGTTCCCCAATTTAGCCTCTTCTGTGTGCTCCTATTCACCCACCTTTGTATGTACCAACGTGTGGATCTTTCCAGAATCCTGCTGTGTTGTGCACTGTAACCTTTGTTGGGTTATGGATGTTTCACTTGCTGTAGATTAAAGAGGAGAGACAAAGGAATCCTCTTACACTGCCATAATGTCTCGATTTATGGCTTTATATTATATTATTAGAACAACCAAGCCAAATCCTTTGAGACTTACTCCAAACAGCATTCATCATATCACTGTTTACTTGGTTTTATATGGAATTGGGATGCTTTATAAAGCACGAATGTTCTTAATGGCATCTAGAATGGTGAATCATTTCCAGAAGGTTTTCAATTTACTTTTCCCAGATCTATCAGAGGAATCACTATCTATAGCAACTATAACCTTACAAAATGTATGTCTTAAATAATAATACTTGAAAGTCGAAATTACTCCTTGATCCATGGGCTGCAGAACGGATGTTGTGTTACCAGACATGAAAACAACATTGATCTTGTTGATATCTCCATCAGAGCTCTTGGATGACCAGGTGCATTGTCAACGAGCAGTAGTATTTTGAAAGGAATCTTTTTTTCCGAGCAATACGTCTCAACAGTGGGCTTAACATATTCAGTAAACCATGTTGTAAATAGATGTGCTGTCATCAAGGCTCTGTTGTTTTATTTATAGAGCACAGGCAGAGTAGATTTAGCATAACTCTTAAGGGTCCTAAGATTTTCAGAATGATAAATGAGCAATCGCTTCAATTTAAAGTCACCTGCAGCATTCGCCCCTAACAAGAGATTCCGCCTGCCCTTTGAAGCTTTGAAGCCAGGCATTGACTTCTCCTCTATGAAGAGCTATGAAAATCCTAGATGGCATCTTCTTCCAATGTAAGGCTGTTTCATCTACATTGACAATCTGTTGTTTAGTGTAGCCACTTTCATTAGTTATCTTAGCTAGATCTTCTGGAAACTTGCTGCAGCTTCTACATCAGCACTTGCTGCTTCACCTTGTACTTTTATGTTATGAAGACGGCTTCTTTTCTTAAACCTCATGAACCAACCTCTGCTAGCTTCAAACTTTTCTTCTGCAGCCTCCTCACCTCTCTCAGCCTTCATAGAATTGAGGAAAGTTAGGACCTTCTCTGGATTAGGCTTTGGCTTAACGGAATGTTGTGACTGGTTTGACCTTCTTTTCAGACCACTAAAACTTTCTTCATATCGGCAATAAGGCTGTTTTGCTTTCTTATCATTCATGTGTTCACTGGAGTAGCACTTTTAATTTCCTTCAAGAACTTTTCCTTTGCATTCACAACTTGGCTAACTGTTTGGTGCAAGAGGCCTAGCCTTTGTCCTATGTTGACTTTCAACATTCCTTCCTCGCTAAGTTTAATCGTTTGTAGCTTTTGATTTAAAGTGAGAGACATGTGACCCTTCCTTTCACTTGAACACTTAGAGGCCATTATTGGGTCATTAATTGGCCTAATTTCAATATTGTTGTGTCTCAGGGAATGGAGAGGCCTGGGGAGAGGAAGAGAGAGACAGGGAAACGGCCAGTCAGTAGAGCAGTCAGAACACACACAGCATTTATCGATTAAGTTCACCATCTTATATGGGTGCAGTTTGTGGCACCCCAAAACAAGTACAATAGTAACATAAAAGATCACTGATCCCAGATCATCATAACAATAACAATGAAAAAGTTTGAAATATTGCAAGAATTACCAAAATGTAACACAGAGACATTAAGTGAGCAAATGCTGTTGGAAAAATGGCACCAATAGAATTGCTTGACTCAGGGTTGCCACAAAACTTCAATTTGTAAAAAATGCTATATCTGGGTCTGGCACTGTGGCCTAGTGAGTTCAGCACCCTCTGCTTCAGTGGCCTGGGTTCGGTTCCCAGGCGCGGACCTACACCGCTCATCGGCAACAGTGCTATGGCAGTGACCCACATGCAAAATAGAAGAAGATTAGCAACAGATGTTAGCTCAGGGTGAATCTTCCTCAGCAAAAAAAAAAAAAAAAAAAGCTATATCTGTGAACCAAAATAAAGCAAAGTGCAATAAAACGAGGTATGCCTGTAAATGTTTTACAAAACTGAACTTGAATTCAGTATAGTCATAAGGTATTTTGTATTTCTCTTAGCCTTCAGATATATTGACTATTCAAACACCTCCTCTTTCTCCTGCATCTTGCTCTCCTCCACCCTTGAATGGTAAAGCGAAGTCCAAGGAAACCAATATACAATGTGGTGAGACTTCTTGTGTGATTGGAATGACTGCACCTAAATTTCTTGTTTTGTAACCTCTGATTTTTATATATTTAATGTTATTAAAGTGGAGCAAATGGTTTTCTTTTACTACAAAATAAAATAATGTTTAGAAAATTGTTTCTTACTTAGTTGAAATCACAAATTTTTTAAATGTCTGGAAATTAAATTAAAAAGTTAGTTGACACAAATTAATATAATTTGAGTTTTCTGTTACTTTTTTTAGTGTTTTAACATAGAGTCTTCTTAAATTATTTTATATTATTTTAAACACACTTAAAATTACTGGCAAATTTTTTAATTTTATTTTGTATTTTTTTTTCAAAATCTTTATTTTTGCATTCAGGGTAATATGTTCTAATAGCTTTGCACATCTTGTTATTTGTTACTTATGACAATTCTATGCTTCATGCAGTATTTTTTTTTTCGGATAAAGTTTTTTTTTAATTTTTTTGTTTATTGCAGTAACATTGGTTTGTAACATTGTATAAATTTCAGGTGTACATCATTATACTTCTGTTTCTGCATAGATTACATCATGTTCACCACCCAAATACTAATTACAACCCATCACCACGCACCTGTGCCGAATTATCCCTTTCCCCCTCCTCCCTCCCTGCTTCCCCTCTGGTAACCACCAATCCAATCTCTGTCTCTATGTGTTTGTTTATTGTTGTTGTTATCTACTATTTTGTATATTATTATAGACGATCCTGCTAATGGAAACTCTGAAGCACTTGCATGTGTCAAAAAGGCAAAAGGTAACCAAGACGACACACAAGGGCACGCTGGCTCTGAAGCAAGCTGCATAGTGAGTAAATTAATTCCCGAAGAAGTCACAGTTTCTGGTTAAAAGCAGAAAATAAGGCTGGGGAAGTTATATTGTTCAGTTGACCCATTTGTATTTCATTTCACTTTGGATGAATATATGCTTCTACTTCCTGTCAAGGTGGGGAGTGACTATGACCCACGCCTGCACAATCATTTATGTGTTTGCTTATTTGTTTGTTTATGTTTATTTGTAGTTTGGATCTCATTCAATGAAGTGTGAAACTGTGACAGTCCCAAGCCCTCCTTCTCAATGTGGTACACCTGTGCTAACCTGCAAGGGTCCAACCTGTGTTGCTGTTAGTTGGGGAGTATGTTGTCAATTTATTTTTATTAATTTTGGTGATATAAAAACAGAGTAGTTGGTTTATAAATTTTATGGGAGGGCTAGAACTCCCTACAGAGTTAGAGTTTAGATTACGGTTTCACAAATCTTGCACCATGATTCTAGAACACACCTAGGACCTGATACTAGTGCCATTAGGAGGTCCAAGGCTATGATAATCCTGTTTTCCAGATCCTATGTTTATGGAGGATAATAAATTTGGAAAACCAAATAGACTGTTAATAGGTAGCTAATTGAATTTTTAAACCCAAAACAAAGAGATAATAAAATTAAAGCAACGTATAAACTTAGTAATTTTTAAAAAGCTTCATTGGGATATCTCTGGTAGTTTTTGTTTGCATGTAACTCTACAGCATGACACATAAGAAATGTGACTATGAGGTAATGAAGCTTAAAAGAACCCAATTTTACGTCCATGTGAATATCGTTTCATTCAAACTAATCAAACTCAAAAAATAATAATCGGCCTAGTTATTAAGCCACCTAAGTACCCTCAAATTTTTCTTCCCTTTTTCTCAGACTCTAACAGAGGATTTTTAGCATTGACACAAAAGCTTTAGTCTGATAATAATACATGATGGGTGTGATTACATCACTGCACAAAAGCCAGAGAGTACTGGGGTTTGTATTTGATTCCACTAATCAATAGTAATATTAAGCCACATTAATATATCTAAGTTTGGTCTTTAAGTAACACAATTGAAAATAGTTTTAATAAATTAAAAATAAGAATTCATCAAATATGTGAGATTAGCCAATCCTTTCTCTTATTTTATTTGAGCCTTTTAATGTTAGTGTTCTGCCCTATATTTAATTATATTTTTACATGTATCTATATCTCATATCATTTAATAGATTATAAGCTTTGCCACTGAAAGGATGATGTTCTAACTCTCTAGTATCTAGTATAGTGACCATTTATAGAAAGAACTCAATTTCCATGTTTGTTGCATCTTTCAGATTCCTGTATGTAATGGTGCTGAAATCACTGATTACAGACTAGAGTGGGGACAAATTGAAGAATCAATGCACTTGATTTACACTGGCCCTTGTCTGAACTATGAAGTTAAAGGTCTCGTTCCTGCAACTACATATTTTTGCAGAGTTCAGGTAATCTTAACAGTTCTTCCAATGTAAACAAGACAGTGGTTATTAACCCACGCTATCTACATTCATAATATTAGCATCATTTCCGGTGTGGAGACCAGAAGGGAGTCACAGACTTCCAAATCTTAAATTTTCCTCATATTTACCAAGAACATTCTGAGCTCCTTCATCTGCCATTTAAAGCCCCACATAATCTGGCACCTACTTTCTATTCCAACTTGATCTGTCATTATATTCTCTACAGTTCTTTCCCAAATCTCCCTGAACTTAAGAACCACCTAAAATGCTTGTTTAAAACACCGATTCCTGGTCTACAGCCATACCACACTGAACACGCCCAATCTCGTCTGATAAAACACTGATTCCTGCACCTCCACTCAGACCTATTGAATCAAAATTTCTATCCAAAGACTTGCTAGTCTGTATATTTAAAAAGCACCCAAAGTAATAATTATCATCAATTAGTAAAAACTGCATAAACTATTTCAAACAAACAACTCTACCCACCACCCACAAGTATGTCTCGTACATTTGTTCATACTATGTTCTCTGCCTATCTTGTCCCATAAAACCAAGCTTTGCATGAATGCTTCCTTGAAAACTTTAGCTGGAAGTCATGTCTTCCTCTTCTGAACTACTAGAATTATAAGACTCATAACTTTAAGGTTTTCGGAGACATTCCAAATTTAGAATAACCTGATATGTTGTCTCCATAAAGTTAAGCCATCAAATCCTAGGAGCCCTAATGCTGGGCATCTAAGGTACATCTCTCAGATTGCCTTTTATAACTGGAAGTTGTTTTTTAAAAAAGATTCATCATATTATTTGGGTGTCCCTATTTTTTGTATTAGAAAAATGCTCTCACAATATGTATTTATTAGTTAGAAGGCTACTGCAATAGTCCAAAGGATAGGTGAGTTTATGAACCTTTAAGTCTGCTACAGTGTGAATGCTGAGACATTAATGGATTTGAAAGATATTAGAGAGGTAAAAATCAATGGAATCTGTTCCTGCCAAGACAGGGTATTCCCATACCACCCAGGTCCTCCCTCTTACAACTAAAAACCCTGAACATAACACAACAAAGAAGCATAGGAGGACTCTGACTGGTGGAAAGAAAGAAAAATATCTTTCCAAGTTGTGAAGGACCTCGCAACTTGAGGAACAATACAGTGGTGAGCCCCCTGGGTTTTATTATCACCTCCGATATATCCCAAAAAGGGTGTGGGAGAAGCCTCCAACTCAAAACTGCCAACAGGGACAGACAGAAAAAAACCTTAAAGAAAAGCCTGTTCCCCCACCCCCAGCAAAATGACTGGGAAAATGGTAGCCTAACAACAGAAAATTTTTTAGGTAATACTTTAGCCAAACATCAATGGAAAAATCACACATATCCTGCCCTTCCTCACCCTGAAGTTTCAACAGGCCAAGTGGGAATATGACCATCCAACTCACCCCAGAAGCAAGCAACATGCTCCACTTTCCCTACCCAGTGATTTCAGTTTTGACTGGGCCAAGCAGGGAGTTAATCTTCCATCCCCTGCCTGGCAGAAGCAGGCAGTGCTTTGCTTCCATTCCCCTGCTGACGGGTGTCTGTATGGCCAAGTGGGGAACTTATGATCTTCTATACCTCTCTGAGGGAAGCAGGCAGGAGCACTCTACTTCTGTTGCAGGGATAGTGTTGGCAATCTGAGCTTCCATGCCCATCTAGCAGCAACAGACTGGTGTTGCTGAACAGAAAAACAGAACAAGGTGGTGTGATTCAGGCTAGATAGCACTCCACATTCCTCCTATTCCTGTGTCAGCAAGACCTAGTGAGAAGCTGAACCTACATTTCCACATACCAGCACTGAGACTGAAAGAGGATATGGGAAGCAGGGCTAATCATCATTCAGGTCGCCCCTTCACCTGCTATCAGTAGTGTCCAGTGGAGGGCTCAGCCTCCATCTCTACTCAGCATCAAGGAGGCAGATCTAGGTGGTGAGAGGCTATCCTACTTGGCATGCCACTCCCCTCACTCCCTTCTGCTTGTGTCATTAAGACCCAGCTGGGAACTGATCTTCTACCCTCACCTTGCAGGAACACAAGAGGTGTTAGTTGGTCCTCCACTTCCACCCTCCATGGTATCAGCAGGGCCCAGTGGGGAGCTGAGCTTAAACTCACACTCAGAAACAGTGATGCAGTGCAATAGTTGCCTTACTCTTCCTAGATAGGTATCAAAGGGGCCTAGACAAGAGCTGAACTTCCACCCTACCCAACCTTTGCAGTATACCTCTAGAGGGATACAGCCTACTAAAAACAGATTAAGACTCAGAGTCTCATAATATAATAGTAAAACTGTCCAGAATAAATAATCATTTGTCATAACAAGAACCAGAAAAATGACAACTTGAATGACAAAAAACAATCAACAGACTCTGTGATAAATCAGAGGTTTGAATTATCTGACAAAGATTTAAGCAGCGATCAAAAATGCTCCAACAAGCATTTATGAGTTATCTTGAAACAAATGAAAAAAAAATCTCAGCAGAGAAATAGAAGTTATAGAAAAGAACCAAATTGCTAGGGCCGGCCCCATGGCTTAGCCGTTAAGTGCGTGCACTCTGCTACTGGCAGCCCGGGTTGAGATCCCGGGCGCGCACTGACAGACCACTTCTCCGGCCATGCTGAGGCCGCATCCCACATACAGCAACTAGAAGGATGTGCAATTATGACATACAACTATCTACTGGGGCTTTGGGGGGAAAAAAAGGAGAAGGATTGGCAATAGATGTTAGCTCAGAGCCGGTCTTCCTCAGCAAAAAGAGGAGGATTAGCATAGATGTTAGCTCAGGGCTGATCTTCCTCACAAAAAAAAGAAAAGAACCAAATGGAAATTATGAAACTGAAAAATAATATAACCAAAAAAAAAAACTTACTAGATGGGCTCAGTAGTAGAGATAACAGAAGATAGAGTCAGTGAACTTGAGGGCAAATTAACAGAATTTACCCAATCTGAACACCAGAAAGGATTTAGAAAAAAGAAAAAATGAACAGAGTCTTAGGGACATATAGGACAATTTAAAAAGAGCTAATATTCATATCATTAAACTCCCAGAAGGAGAGAAGAGGAAGAGTGGGAATGAAAAATTATGCAAAGAAATAATGAAAACTTCCCAATTTGGGGGAAAACATAAACCAACAGATTCAAAAAGCTGAGAAAATTAGAAATCAAGAATACAATCCCATTGACAATCACAACAAAAAGAATAAGACACCTACGAATAAATTTAACCAAAGAGGTGAAAGACTTTTGCAGCGAAAACTATAAAAAAACTGTTGAAAGAAATCAAGAGAGATGTCTGGAAAAATGGTGGCATAGGAGGACTCTGAACTCATCTCCTCCCGTGGACACAACAAATCTACAACTACCTGTGGAACAATTACCTCTGAGAGAGAACAGGAAACTGGATAAAAAGAACCCCCACAACAAGGGACAACGCTGACAGAGGTGGAAGAGTCAGAAATACCCCTCTGCTGAGGAAAAAAACACATTCTAACTACAGCGCTGCATGGCCAGGAGCAATCTTAAGGTATGAAGCTTTTCCCAGAGGAGTGGAAGGATCTGAGTGGGAGATCTATGCCACAATAAGCATCCCAGCCTTTGAATTCAGCACAACCAAGACAAGTGCCCATAATACCTGGCTTTGCTGGCTTTTGAAACCAATGGGGAATATGCCCAGAAAAACTAGTGAAATTCAGAGAAAGAAAAGCCTTCTCTTAAAGGGCCCATGCACAGATTCACCCATTCTGGAAACTAACACAAAATCACCAGAAAGAAAGGTGCATAGTCCTTTCACTTGCTAAGCTCTCAGCACATCTCAAAGAGGCAGGAGGTGGCTGGGCCTAGTTCCCCAGAGACTGAGACACTGGTGGCAGCCATTATTGTGACCTAGTGCAGGCATGATGACATGGACGCTGTTGGACACCATTGGATTTCTTCCTCTGGCCTGTTAGTACAGGGGTTTGCCCTGCCTACTAGAACACCAATTTAATCAAGCACAGCTAGGGCAAGCAGCCTATCCTAGGGACTGGCCCTGCCTACCAGCAAGCCCACAGGGAACTAGTGGGCCTACATAGGTGGGGAGTGTGGGACCTCTACAGTGGGGCAAGTGGGTACACCTCAGTGGGGCAGGACATGCACCCAGGGCAGGACTGTGTTGATGGGGTGTGTGGGCCAGCAGGCATTGGGGTGTGTTGGCTGCAGCAGACGTGTGCCACTGGCCATCTCAAACAGCTACACAGGGGATCTGCCCTGCCTTCCAGTGCCTGAAATGACTGTGTGCTGCCACTCCTGGGGCCAGCCGCACTCCTGAGAGAGCTGACAACAGCCTCGCAGGCTGGAGGCCTACAGCAATTATGAGCACCTGAGCCTAAGAACAAGCCATGTTGAGGACCTGATTCACTTAACAGCAAAATAGCAGCCAGTGTGTACTATTAGACCTTGCAGCCAACTGTGCTGGGGCTTGCCCTACTCAATAAAGTAAATAAAGTGACCACAGCAGCCACATGCAGCTGAGCCTTACAAGCAGCTAGCCTGGGGACCAGCCTAGCCTACCTGTGCACCCGCAGCAAGAGCAACCCCACCACAACAGAAGGGCACATGGAGCCCACACAGGGGCCACTCCTGGAACATTTGGAACTGGTGACTAGAGGGAAGCACATTGCTGGGCCCCATAAGGCATCTCTTGCATAAGGCCACATCTCCAAGAACGGGAGACGTAGCTGATGTACCTAATACATAGATATAGGCACAGAAAAGTAGGCAAAATGAGGAAACAAAAGGAATATGTTCCAAATAGGAAACAGGACAAATCTTCAGAAAAAGGACTAAATGAAACAGATAAACAATCTACCTGACAAAGAGTAAGAACTAATTACCATAAGGATGCTAACAGATCTTGGGATAAGAATAGAGGAATACAGTAACAATTTCAACAAGGCACTGGAAAATATAAAAAAGA